ACAATTTCCATGCTCAAGGCACACCTTAGCTAGACCTGAAGATCACTTTCCTTATTGAAAATGCAAACATATCCACAAAACATATTATCTTAAGCTGCACCTGCAGGCCTGGGACTTATCCAGCATTCTTACTTCTAGAGAACAAATGGATAGCACATAACATGTAGTTCTGGCAACAGAAAGGACTCCTGGCTCAACCACCACTGGGCTTAACTTCCCCTTCTTCCTTGCCCATCCAAGGGGGCTTTCCTTGCACACTGCCTGCTTGAGCTACTGTTAACTGAGAGGTGGACACTGTTGTAAAGGTACTTTCCAGCCAGCAGCCTTCTCTCTTGTAGGGATAATATGCCCCATATAATGGTTAAGAGCTCTGGTTCTAAAGTCAGGCACATCTGAGTTCAAATCTTGGTTCTAGACATTATTAGCCTCTAAGACCTTGGGCAGTTTATAAAAACTCTTTGTGCCCCATTTTCCTGTAATGCCAGTAAACACCCACTTCAAGTCAGAATCTTGGGTGTCCTCTTAAGCCTACTCATCTCTCATCTTATACCTTCCCCTGCTACTGTCTTAATCCAGCTCCTCGTCATTTCTCCTTACACCATAGCACAGCCTCCTCACTGTAATTTTGACCTTCCACTTTTGCTGCTCTCTGGTCCGTCTTCCACTTTGCAAGGTGGCAGACACAAACCTTGGCATCCTCCTCCATTCCTTTCTTCTCTCACTTGCATCCAATTCATTAACAAGTCTTGTACCAGTAGGCCCTTCCTTCAAATGTATCTAGACTCTGGCTGTTTCCCTATCAGCCGGATTCAGTATTATCTCTTGTGGTGATTACTGCTATAGCCAGACAGCTGGACTCTATGATTCTGACCTGGCCTTCCTATAGTTGATTCTTAACACAGCAGCCAGAAAAATTGTTTAAAAAATATACATCAGGTGACTCAAAACTTTTGATGGCTCAATATTTCACTGAGAGCAAAATTCTAAATCCTTCCAAAAGCCCAGGTAAGGGGACTGTTTCGAGCCTCCTGCTTCAGAGGATCCTACTGTGGCCATGCCTCTCCCTGCAGTGTGAGGTGTCTGCAGGGCTGAGAGGAGTGATCTTGAGCCTCTCCCCATCACATTCTGGGTCCTTGAGATGCTGGAATTTCATGCCCAAAGGCTCTAAGCCCATGTCTAGGCCTGTGCAGTGTCTTCCCCAGATCCATCCCTCCAAAGATGAACCTTTCTGCCAGTGTGCATATCCCCATTAACCAGGCACTTCTTTTCAAGATTTTTCTGCTTGAAACTCCCTTCTGTAAAACTGCCAGAGCACCAGCCCTCTGGCATTCCCAATTCTCCTTATCTGTCTCTCTTTTCCAAAGCATTCATTACATCATATTATACCATATAATATACTTGTTTATTATATTATAGCCTACCATCTTTCATAAGAATATGATTGTTTAAATCAAGGATCTTTGTCTGTTTTGCTTACTGCTATGACTTCAGCCCCTAGAACATTGTCTAGCAGTAAGAAACACTCTGTCAATATTTGTTGAATACATTACCCCTTTACCTAGCAGGCAGAGAAATCTCCTGAATCCTGACTGGTGAACCCTGACCATGTCACTCCTGCTTGAAAGACTTCAATAGCTCCCATTATTTACAAGGTGCCATTCTCCGTAGTGTGGCCTGCAAAACCTTCCCTGACCTGGCCCCTCTTGCCTGAGCCACAGAAAAATGCATGCACTTTCCATGACCAGGACCTCATAGGTGCTTTGAGAATTCTAATTTCTCATGTCTGATCTCATCTTATTTTTTTCTAATCTTATTTTTCCTCTATTTCAGTTTCTTCGGGTACTTAAAAATAGTATTGCAGCCCTAGACAATTTAGCTCAGTAGATAAAAGTGTTGGGCTGTCGACCAAAGGGTTCCAGGTTCAATTTCAGTCAAGGGCACATACCTGGGTTGCAGGCTCCTCCTGAGCCCAGGGCCTTGGTTGGGGCGTGAGCAGGAGGCAACCAATCGATGTGTTTTCCTCACATCGATATTTCTCTCTGTCTTTCCCTTTCTCTAAAAATCAATGGAAAAATATCCTTGGGTGAGGATTAAAAAAGAAAAAATAGTATTGCATCTTAAGTATCTCCTTAAATAGCCTTACATTCTTATGCATTTAACACAATGAATAAGCTTCTCTTAAATGTCTTAAGCTGTTCCTTCTGTCTCTATTGTACCTACTACTCAACTCTAGTGTTTACACTAGTGTAAGTCATTTCTGGTATGTTAAATGGGTGCACTTCTGTTTCCCTGCTAGAACAAGAACTCTTTGTACTTTATTAGGCTCTTAGAACTCTTTGCTAAACCTCTGGTAATTTAGGTACTTTGTTACTAGTAACACAAAACAATGTGGGGATTTCTATAAAAATTGTTGCCTAAATTCTGGCAGAACCAGTGGTCAGAAATGTTCTGCCAGCTGCATTCTTATCTAGGGAGGATTGACCTGGAGAAGAACCTTGATAAGACAATTGACATGACTACTGACAGAACAATTGATAAGTGATCAGCCACATAGGAAAGAAAGAGAAGCAAAAAGTTGACTATAGTTTTGAGGTTAAACTATCAAGACAATATGGATACCACTGAGAGAAAAAAAAAAGGAAATATAAGATCAAGAAAGAGGTGATTCTGTCCTGCCAGCATGGCTCAATAGTTGAGCATCAACCTATGAACCAGGAGGTCATAGTTTCATTCCCAGTCAGGGCATATGCCGGGTTGTGGGCTCAATCCTCAGTGTGGAGTGTGCAGGAGGCAGCTTATCAATGATTCTCTCTCATCATTGATTCTCTCTCTCTCTCTTTCTCTGTCTCCCTTCCTCTCTGAAATCAATAAAAATATACTTAAACAAATAAAAATAAAAAAGGAAAGCTGATTTTTAGAGAAATGGTAAGTTGGGTTTGAGTCATGAAGTAATGCAAGGCATTCAAGAAAAATGTAAGTGTAGAGTTTTTGACATAATTGAGGGCTAGAGATAAACATAAAGAAGTTATTTCAAATATGCAGATGTTAGTTGACATTGGGGAATGAATCAACTCTCTGTGGGGGAGAATATAGAAGGTGAGACTAGAAAAAAAAGGTCTGAACTCTGAGGAATGCCAAATTTGGAGAATAGGAGTAGGAGACCAGAGAAGGCAGAGAAGAAATAGTCCTAAGAATAAGAGAAGCTCCCCCATCCCAGTGTTTCAGGCCCAAAGGAGGAAAATCCCAAGAAGATAATAGAGAAATCTGGAGAATAAGAACTGGGAATCAGCCCTTAGGTGTGGTAGAGACAGCTGGAAAGCATTGAGGTGGTTGGGCTGGATAATCTTTCAGAGTCCTTTATCCTGCAATACAGTGAGCTTTTTTGAAGATTGGGGGAACACATATAACCCAAATAAATCCTGCTGCCCTGGCCATGTGGCTTGTTTGGTTGAGTGACATCCCAGACACCAAAAGGTTGCAGGTTCGATTCCCGGTTAGGGCATATACCCAGGTTGTGGGTTCCATCCCTGGGCAGGGTGTGTGCAGGAAGCAACCGATCAATGTTTCTCTCTCCCTCTTCCTTCCTTTCTCTCTAAAATAGATAAATAAATAAATAAATAAGTCTTGCTGCCGTGGGGTGTGACAATAGGAGGTAAGGGTGTAGTTGCCTCATCACATGGTAACCCAGGTATTAAGCAATTAAGGCATTTGGTGTATTTGGACATTGCCATGTGGAATAAAAATGACACAACAATCTATGGATCTCTTCCAATGCATTGTAAAGCAAGTCAACTCTGAAACATGACCCATCTCTGAAGATGTTAGCATCATCTCCTTCTCAAATCAACCTCAAACTGCCACCTGTATATTATACAAATAACCCCCATCTGGTGATTCATCTGCCATTTCATCAAATCAATTCATTAAACAACTCAACAAGCACTCAGTGATCACCTATTGTGCTAGGGGCACTTGGGATTCAGAGAACCTAAAGCTCTAACTTAATGGAAAGGCTCACAAACAGCAGGAAGACACCTTGAAGCAGTAGACAAGGAAGATCCTGCTGACAGTAAGAGGTTAGTTAATGAAGATGAATAAACCAGTTATGAGTGGCAAAAGTGATATGGCTCACCATTCATAGAATCTTAGGATCTTAGAAACTTGGGAGGGAGCATTTGACTCCTGATGCAACCGTGTGATTACTGCTCACACTTAATATTCTTACTGTGCACTTTGTCAAATATATTGCCCATTATTCCCTTCCACCAGACCAGAGAATTTCAGGGTCAGAAGAGCTTATTAATAGGCAATTTCACTGAAACTTGACCTCCTCACTTCAATGCTCTCTTACATGAATCCACTGTCATTTCTACTACTAGGTGTACCCAGGTGGCGAGCAATAAATACTTTCAGTTTTCTTCCATTTTACTAATCTTTCATCATTTCACATAGTAAAATAAGCCTTTTAGTAGATCCCAGATCACATTTTTGTTAAAAAATGGTTGTCTGTAGTATAAGTTAATGTAATTACCGTTTTACTTTTGTTTTTAAACAGCTTCCTTTTAGAGCATAGCTTCTAAACACAGGCTAGCCAGGAATGTTCTCTCCCTGCCAAATGGATAACTCAAAACACATCAGACACAGGAAAACAAAATTTTAAGTTCCATTAACCCTTAAAAAATTCTAAGCTGAGATAATCTCAAGAATAGTTCAATTTTTTTCATTGCACGTTTATTTTGTACATAAAAATATCTCACCTCATAAAACTGCCCAACAATAATCATAAGCATAAGGACAAGCAAGAGAAATCCTACTATTGGGGGAGCAGGCAGAAATTAGCTTGTTTGTGTCCCTGAGCACAATGTCTGAGGCAGAATTTCTCCTGCCTCCGATGCTGTGGAGAGAAAGGCTGCCCACACTTACCCCACTGCGACAGCCTCATCATGTTCCACACCACCAACTCAAAGAAACAGAAAAATCTCACCCCCCTGGATACTCACATCAGGACTTGGCACTTGCTCCTCAGGCAAAGAAACAAACAAAAAAACAATAAAAGTTGCTCTTTGCATCAGATTCCATCATAGAAGCCAGCAAAACAAACAGCCAAAAGAAAACAAAACAAAAACCCCAGGTTGCTGCCTAGACCACTGCAACAACCAGTAGACCCAAGCCAGGACTCCTTCTAGCTGGTCCAGGGGCACAGGAAGATGGACAGTGAAAAGCCATCAGATAATGGAAGTGTACTCCATTGAGAAAAGACGTCATTGCAATTCAGTTGTGATTCAAATCACTTCTTAGGAAGGATTGAAGCCCAGCCTACTGAGTTTTGGTTTTGCTTTCAGGATCACTTCTTCCTTGTAAGCAAATAACTGAATGGTATTTGGGAAAACTGGTTGCAAAGTTACTAGAAAAGAAGGGCGAGGAAAGAATGCTAGCATGTTCTAGCTGTGTGCCAGAAATTTTACACAAGTATCTTTAATAGTTTTTTGTGGCTGTATAACAAAAGACCATAAATTGGGTGGCTTAAAACAACAGACACTACTCTCACAGCTCCCTCATTGTTCTCTCACAGGTCTGGAAGCTAGAAATCTGCAATCAAAGTGTCACAGGGCCACGGTCCCTCTGAAGGCTCCAGAAAGGAATGAGTCCTTGCCTCTTCCTGGCTCCCGATAGCTTTCTGTAAGCCTTGGCATCCCTTGGTTTGTGGCTGCTTCACTCCAATCTTTTCCTCCATCTTCACATGACCTTCCCTGTGTGTGTCTCTGAGTGTCCTCTCCTCTGCTTATAATTTATCTCACCTCGTAAAACTGCCTAACAATAATAATAAGCATAAGGACTAGCAAGAGGAAATCCTACTATTGGGGGAGCAGGCGGAAATTAGCTTGTTTGTGTCCCTGAGCACAATGTCTGAGGCAGAATTTCTCCTGCCTCCGATGCTGTGGAGAGAAAGGCTGCCCACACTTACCCCACTGCGACAGCCTTATCAAGTTCCACACCACCAAGCCTTATAAGGACACTAACCACTAGATTAGTGCCCACCCTAATCCAGTATGACCTCATCTTCACTAATTACATCTGTAGATACCCTACTTCTCAATAAGGTCACCTTTTGAGGCTCCAGATGAACATGAATTTGGAGGGAACACTATTCAACCCACTACAGGACTTCATTTCATTCTTGGAGGAACTCGTGGCCTAGATTCTGTTAGACCCATTTTACATATGCCTTTCCTCAGTTGCACAGACAGTCCCAGACTTGGTATTTACGCAGCCACTCCCAACTGTAGCTACCACAATTGTTTCTTATTTGAGGGATGGAGTCAAAAGAACAAGAAGGAGGAAAGGAGAACACTGCCTTTTCAGAAGAAAAACAATAGCCTTGCCAGTGCTGCTCAGTGGTTGAGCGTCAACCTATGAACCAGGAGGTCACAGTTTGATTCCCTATCATTGCACATGGCTGGGTTGCAGGCTTGATCCTCAGTAAGGGGCATGCAGGAGGCAGTTGATCAATGATTCTCTTTCATCATTGATGCTTCTATCTCTCTCTCCCTCTCCCTTCCTCTCTGAACTCAATAAGAAATATATTTTTTAAAAATCTGAAATCAATAAAAAACTTGTTTTTTTTTTAAATCTCTAAAAATATTCAATAGAAAGAAAAACAATTAGGCAGCGGTGACTTAGAGGCAAGGCGTGGAGAGAAGACAAGAACACATTAGAGAAATGTGGCAAAGAAAACACACCCTGTCTGAGCATCAGAGTTCCATCTCTGCTGACCCCACTCCTATGAGCCCAAGGGAACCGTAGTGTTACCTGAGATGTTGCTGGCCAATGGCAGCACCAGTTATTACCAGTGAAGTTACACCTTGGTTCTTGAGTTCAGAAAAAAAAAAAAAAAAAAAAATTCAGAGCCAAGAACTCAAATTACAAAAGAAAGTTTGCTTAGAAAGTCACAGAAGTAGAAGAACTGAGCCAGCTGGGCTGTGTAGGCACAGAAAACAAGTTAAAGAGGCAGAAGGGCCCTTGGAAAAGCAAAGATAATGTGTCTTGGGGGAGGGGAGTGATAGGGAAAGGTGTGGGCATGCTCTCAGAGGGAGTGCACACCCTAGGTCCTTCATCTTGATGGTTTTAAAGGCTGGGAGTTTAGGGGAGGTCTGAGGGGAGAGTCTCAAGAGAATAGCCAGCAGTTTTATGCTGATGTGCCAAAATGAGATTTAATCCCCTGATTTCACACATCCTTGGGTGTGGTTGGCACAAATGGCACTAATTGAATTTTTGTTACCTATCTCACCGAATAGGATGATTTAAGCTATTTACCCTCTGGTTGCAGAGAAGTGTAAATGATTTACTTTTAAGTGTCCTTGGTTAGGGAAGATAGGGTTTTGCCATTTACTAGATGACTGTAAACTGCTTGGGCATTTAACTATCTACCTTAGTTTCCCTATTCCATCTGTCCTGGCTTACTACTAGCCTGTCTCAGTAGGAATGAAATTGGTCATCTAGGTCTATATTCAAGTTGGCCTTTTCTTGCCAGCTAGTTTTAGTCTCACCACTGAAAAGCCCCACAGTGTAGTGGGACCACAGAGGCCTGAGGAATAGGCATACATCCCCTGCATTGCTCTGAGAGTTTAATGTCTACATGGGATCTACACACCACCTGTCAGAGTGCCTGTCCCTCTTTAGGAGGGAGACATACTTGTCACTGTTTCTCTTCTCTGTCTTGTCCAAGTTTCCTCCCACTCTGCCCCACTCCCTTTCTTCTTGCTATAGGCAGTTAGACAGCCCGGTACAGAAGGTCACCAGGGTGGAAAGCCCCAGGTACCTCGCAATGGACAATCCTATATAATAAAAGCCTAATATGCTAAGTGTCCAGTTGTCTGGTTGGCCGTTCAACCAATCACAGCATAATATGCTAATGATATGCTAAGGCTGCTCAACCGCTCGCTATAACGTGCGCTGACCACCAGGGGGGCAGACAGTCAACTAGTCACTATGACATACACTGAATACCAGGGGGCAGACATTCCGATCAGTAGGTTAGCTTGCTGCTGGGGTCCGACCAATCGGGACTGAGCAAGAAGGGCCAGACATGCCCTGGAGCCCTCCTGTGGTCCCTCCCTGGCTGGCCAACCTCCCACGTCCCTCCCCGGCCCCGATTGTGCACCAGTGGGTTCCCTTGGCCTGGCCTGTTCCCTCTTGCAATCTGGGACCCCTTGGAAGATGTTGGAGAGCCCGTTTTGGACTGATCCTGCCGGCCAGGCCAAGGGACCCGACTGGTGCGCGAATTCGTGCACTGGGCCTCTAGTCAATTATAGGGTGGGACCTCACTCCCAGGGTGACTTTTCCTCCACTAGCATATAGCTGGTCATGAGGTTTGAACCCCCTGATCTTTCCTCCCTAGAGACATCTATGTTTCCGTTGTGTTTTAGCTCTAGGCCCAGAAAAGCAACAATACCAGCCAAGGCTGACCTCAGTTCCAGCAGCATTGAATAATGACCCCCTGCCCTAATGCTGACCAATCAATCAGCAGAGACTACAACCCTGAAAGGACACAGCTGGAAAACTGCTGAATATTCTACTGAGATCTTCCCCTGGGGTCTCCCCTAAAATCTCCACCCTTAAAACCTTTAGGATGGAGGACCCTGGGAGCATGCCCAAGCCTTTCCCTCCCTTCCCCCCTTCCTACCCTCACTCCCAAACTCCAAGGGCCCTTCCATTACCTCTATAACTTATGTCCTAAGTCCATTTCTTCTAGGAATTACTTCTTCTACCTCTGTGATTTACCAAATAAATGTTCTCTTACAGTTTGAATCTTGACTCTGAATTCTTTCCTAGCCAGAACCCAGGTTGCTGAACCCAGGTTTGGTCTGACCCCACCGGTCAGACACCTGGTGCTGTAGGTTCCCAGGTTCTTTCTTCATTCCGTAGGTTTTGGAAAACAGACTTACCTCAGAGCAGGGGTGTTTTCACAATAAGGCCCTTGGTGTTCTCACCACAGGGCCCACAGACAACTCAAACTAATATCTCAGCATGTTTTCCTGCCTCATAAATCTATATGCCTTAAAAAGATACAGGAGGGGGAGATATCAACATTTTAACAGGGGCCTCTATGTAGAGGACTTGTAGGTGATTTTTTTAGTTTCTTCTTTTTGTTTATATTTTATTTTCTAAATAACTTGCCATGAACACAAATGCACGTTTGTAAAGACATGGAAATAATTTTTAAAAATCAGTAATGGAAAGTTAAATTGCTAAACAGCAACAAGAAAACATTTCAAGAACTTTGCAAAGGGCGTATTTTTGTTTCTAATTTATTTAATTTAGCTTTGTTCCATATATATATATATATATATATATATATATATATATATATATATATATATATATTTGTAATGGAAGATCCCTGAGAGGCATAGCTAAATTGTGTGTGTGCTCCTAAAAACAAGACAACAGGCTCAAAATGGAGAGAGTTACACTATGACCCCAATCACCAAACCAAGACTTAATTATAGTTTTGGCTCTTCCCAAATGGAGTCTTAAACCAGTCCATTAAGAATTGTTTAAACAGGGGCAGGTTGGGAGCTGGCGGTGGTGGTGGCAGTGGCAGTGGCAGTGGCAGCGGCGTGGTGGTTGGTGGCTGACCTATTGCACTGTTCATTTTCGCTGGAGTGTCTAGATGTTGGTTTTGCTGCTGCTCCTGTTCCGCCTTCTGAGCCTCCCGCCTCCCCAGCCCTTAGCTCTGGACACTCCTGCCAGCGGGGTCAGTCTACCAACTTCTGTCCTTTCTGAGAAATGCCACTGATGGCTCCTTTTCGCCTGTACCTGGCACTACAATAGTTACACACTTTGTATCATTGAATCCCCCCCTGCAGCTGAGACAGTAACAAAGAAGTTAAGGAACTTGCTTAAAGTCACAGTTTCAAAATGCACTAGAGCTTGAAGTTGATTGCAGGCTGCCCACTTCGCTTCCACCTTGCTCACCACCAAACTGAATGCCTAGCCAAATGCCATATGCTTTACCAAAGTTTCCACTATTTCTTTTTTTTTTTAATTAAATCTTTATTGTTCAGATTATTACATTTGTTCCTCTTTTTTCCCCCCATAACTCCCCTCCTCCCAGTTCCCGCCCCACCCTCCGCCCTCACTCCCCACCCACTGTCCTCATCCATAGGTGCACGATTTTTGTCCAGTCTCTTCCCGCATCTCCCACACCCCTTCCCCCCCCAAGAATAGTCAGTCCATTCCCTTTCTATGTCCCTGATTCTATTATGATCACCAGATTATTTGTTCACTTGATTCTTAGATTCACTTGTTGATAGATGCATGTTTGTTGTTCATAATTTGTATCTTTACCTTTTTCTTCTTCTTCCTCTTCTTAAAAGATACCTTTCAGCATTTCATATAATACTGGTTTGGTGGTGATGAACTCCTTTAGCTTTTCCTTATCTGTGAAGCTCTTTATCTGACCTTCAGTTCTGAATGATAGCTTTGCTGGATAAAGTAATCTTGGTTGTAGGTTCTTGGTATTCATCGCTTTGAATATTTCTTGCCAT